TCCATACTGGGATAAGGTGTCAAATGACGCCAAGGATCTCATTTCTAACCTCTTGGTGGTGGACCCGCACAGAAGATTCACAGCTGAGAAAGCGTTGAAGCACAAATGGGTGAAATTAAAGAGYCCGACTACTGGTGACCTGAGTAAAGCTCTTCTAAGCGAGGACGAAGCTGCAAGGAAGCGCTTCAAAGCCGCAGCGCTGGCCGTKCGAGGCGCCAAGAAGTTCGAGAACCTGGCAGATGAGTTTCGCCAACACCGTGGTGAACAGTTTATCAGTATCTGAGATTTATATATCTACGAAAGGTATTTAATTAAGAAGGATGCTGTTGACCGGCATAGACTATCACATGACATAATCTAGGAGAACATATGGACTATATATTTTTTGACATAAAGCGTTCAGARCAATAGACGCGAATGTGTTAGTATAGAGGGAAATAGAGGTCCATTATAAGCAGGAATGGATAACAACCACAACAGACAAGTCATCTCAAACAGAATAGAAATCCATTCGTAAACACCCTTCGTTGAGCACGACGAGATTTTTTTAAAATGTACAACAAAAAATTAAGCATGCAGCGTACACTTACACCTTTTTGAAAAAAAGCTGTTTAACACATTCTCGTACCCAGATCCTTCTACGTTTACCAACGAAAATTCGAAGGCTCTGGTTAAAGACGAATGAGTCTTTGATTTGATTGGCTCAAAAATTTCCCWTTCGACATCATACTTATACTGTGCAAAACAGATTCTGGATCTTCCGATGTCGTCGCCAACCAGAGTCTTCGACTTCCCGTTGGGAAACTGAGAAGGACCTGGGTACGAGAATGTGTAACCATGTCGGATGTCGACAAAATGTTTATAAGGAAGACATTTATATGAATGCAGAGAGTCACATATTTTTATCAAATATAATGTTATATATATTTGGACGAGCTYAGCCAATCGCACGTTACGTATTGGACATATCATATCACATAAACGAGTGCAAAACCTAAATGTGTACGSCATTACAATATTTGCTACTAATTATTGCTGCAGTCATTTGAAGAAATTCTGGCCGCTAACTTATATAAATATATTCATCAGTATATAGGGCCGTTTATATTTCAAATTCAATTAAACCATTAATTTTTCACAAATTATTCTTATTAAATAATTGAATAATTTGAGACCATTTTAGCGAGAAAAGAGCGAAAACACATGACATTACCCATGATGCACCTGACAATGATAGGTCAGCGGTGAGATTTTTTTGCAAATGGCTGTAAATAAACAAGAGAAAAAAATAGAACTAGGTTAATTTAGTAGTATTAATTAAGGCTGTGCACYTTTATTATTTGTACTCAATATTATTCAATACACTAACTATAACTTATAGAATTGAAGGGGACAATTTTAGAGGTTTTAAAAAAAGTTCCAAAACGACTTACAAGTGATTAAGAATTGAATCAGTCAATTTGACATGGTAATTGATAATTTTTGATACAGATTTTAACGATAAGTTGTTGCGTGTTTGTTGTACGTAATTCGTTACATTGTTCTTCGTATGCAACTGCACGCACGCTACCTGTGTAGCTTGATATGCAATATGTTTATCAGACCAACTTGATTAGCACTACAACATAAGCARTACCATAAGTTGAGAACAAAAGAATAGACAAATCCCCATAAAAAATCCCTATAAAATCTGTTGTTTCAGACATTTTTGTGTTCTTTTGAAGGGAGGAGGGGGTGGGGAGTTGGAGTTTGTTTGTTGTTGTTGTTGTTGTTTGTTTACTTTKAGCTCATGYTTGTGCTTATGTCGTAGTGTGAAACTACCGTTAAATACGACATCTTTATCAATATTAATTATATATTATCCCAGTACCAAGTACTAAATACATTATTATTCTAACTATTAATTTTTTATTCATTCTGTCAATGTATATATTTTTGTATAAAATAGATCGCATGATTAAAATGAAATAAAGCAA